TGAAAGATAAGTACTTCTTTAAAAGAAATTTGTTTCTGAAATAAATAAAAATATTGAACGGTTTAATACTTCCACATTATATAACTGACATCGACCCATTTGCCCATTTGATTTTTGTTGGTTTGAAATTTATTTGAGTTGTCTGTATTTTTAATATAAATATCTTGCATGTTATACTTCTAAGATTTACAAGTTGTCATATTTGATTTCACAACTTTAGGTAAGTCAGGAATTGTTCCATTTTGCACAGGAGGACAGTGGGCCACAAAGTATGTGAATGTGGTTAGCATGAAGCCGAGACTAGGTGGGCTCTGAGGTCAGTGACACTGGGCCTCTCCTCCAGCTGCCACACCGCCTATGACTAAAGCGGCCCCTCTGTCCTGCAGCCGGTCCACGTGGGTGCTTCCAGTGGCTGCGGACGTCTGGGGAGCAGCGGGTCCCAGGAGCGCCGGTCAGCGTGGCCTCTTCCATGAGGCCTGGAGGAAGGGCAGAGGTCCCCGGCAAGCGGGTGGGCTTCTGTGCACCTGCTGTGGTCCGTGTGTGTCGCTGCTGGTTCTGTCTCCCAGCACGTGTGGCTTCTCAGTATCTTGTCTTGACTGAAGACCCGATCTGGTCACTCATCTGTGTTAGTTTGGGGAAATGTCTGGAAAAAGAGAATATCACCTCTAGAACAGGACATTTGGGCTAATTGTGTTCTTTCTGGAGATTAGCATGCTGTAAACAGGTAGGCGTGAAGCATCGTCCGTGCCCGGGTGCTGCAGGGCAGCGGGAGCCCAAGTCAGTGCTGTGCTGTCAGTCCTTGTGTCTTCAGGGAACCGGAAGTCACATATGTTGTTTGGGTATCTTGTAATGTACACTCTCACAATTTTTGAAACATGTTTTATCATTCTTTTCCCTAAGTTGACTTTGCAGCAGGTCTGTGCCAGTGTAAACAAAATCAGAATCTCAGTCAGCAGCTCTACATCGAGTCAAGGACCAAATCACCAGACAGGCATGTGACGGAGACCCTCACTGGACAGCCTGGGGGTGAGTCGGCAGGGCAGCCCTGCCCTCTCGCAGGTGCAGCCTTCTTCTGCCTGTGTGAGCACGGAGCCCTGAGCCTGGGCCACTGCCCTGCAGGTTAACGTGTCTGATGATCAAAGTAATAGTAATAATAACAATCATGGTCACCGGGCCTTTGTGTCTTCCGTTCTCCCATACACTGTGAGTGTCACAGTGGCAAAGAGAGTGTCTGCTCTGTCTCCAACTTCATTCTCAGGGTCGAGCACAATGCCTGACTCAGTAGGTAATCCAGAAATACTTAAGGATGAAAGGAAAAAAAAAATCACAAAATAAAAACACCACACACTTGGGCATATCGTATTCAAACTAAAATAAAACCAGAGAGAATATCTTGAAGAGAGCCAGAGGTAAAAAATACAGATTACAAACAGAGAGACAAAGATAAGAATAAGAATTACAAGAGACGTTTCTTCAGAAACCATGAACATTAGAAGACAGTAAAGTAATATATTCAAATAAAAAAACTGTCAATGCAGAATTATACACGTAGGGGGAAATACCTTTCAGAAATAAAGGAGATGAAAAGATTTTAACAAAAACTATAGGAATTTATTGCCAGCAGTTGTGTTCTATCAGAATCCTAAAGGAGTTTGTAAAGGTAGAACGAGTATGATGCCAGACATAAAACTTGTATCTATACAAAGAAATGAGGAACACTGGAAATGGGATATATGAAGATAAAATAATTTTTTTTGCTTATTTTTATTACTCTAAAAGATAACTGTCTAAAGCAAAAGTAGTATTCTGCATTTATAACATATGTAAAAATACTGCAAAAATGGGAGCGAGGTATTCGGAAAATACTGCTGTAAATTCCTTACATGATTCTTGAAGCAATATTTTATTTGGATATAGAAATTAATTCCATAAATATGTGTATTGTAAAAAAAAGGTATATTATTGTAAACTTTAGGATAATTACTAGAGAAAGTTTTTAAAGAAATATGAGTAATGTCAGTAGAGGCGATAAACTGTAATTTAAAACACTTAACCCAAAATGAGGCAGAAAAGGAGGAAAAAAAGAAACAAACAAAAAACCCAGATGGAACAAATGGAAAACAGCTAGCAAGGTATATTTTAATCCAACAATATCAGTCACATTAAATGTGAATGATCTCAGTATACCAGTTAAAAGACTCAAGTTGTCCAACTGGATGGGAAAACAAGATGTAGCTACGTATTATCTATAAAAACCCACTTTGAAAATGAAAACATAGGTTAAAAGTAAAAGGTTGGAAAAGATATGCCATGCTAACAGGAATCAAAAGAAAGCTGGAAATATTAAGATCAGACACAGTAGACTTTAGAACAAGGACATTATCAGCATTTCAGAGGTATATTGCATAAAGAACAGAGGGTTGATTCTCTGAGAACATGTAATAATCCTAAACATTTATGCATCTGACATCGGAGCTTCAAAATATATGAAGCAAAAACTGATAAAAACTTTTAACGAGAAATAAACAAATCCACAGGGATAGCTGGAGACTGCAGCACACCTCTTTCTATAATTGATAAAACAAGTGGACAGAAAATTAGTAGAGATAGAGAAGACCTAAACAAAGCTATCATCATTAACATTCATGGAACATTCCAACCAATAACAACATAGTATGTGTGTTTTGTTTTCAAGGGCACATGGAACATCCATCAAGATAGACCATGTTCTGGGCCATAATACAACCTTAAAATTTTTAAAGGATGGAAATTACAAAGTATATTCTCTAACCTAATGGGTTAAACTAGAAATCAACAACAGAAAGGGATCTGGAAAGTCCCCAGACGTTTGGAAATTAAATAACACACCTGTAAATAACCCACAGATCAAAGAGGAACTCTCAAGGAAAGTAAAAACATTTTGAATCAAATGAACTGAAAAGACAACATAAAATTTGTGGGATGCAGATAAAGCAGTGCTTAAAGGGAAGTGTAGAGCATTCAGTGTTTATATAGGAAAAAGAAAAAAAAAAGGGTCTCAAATCAGTCATCTGAACTTCCCCCTTAAGAATCTAGAGAAAGAAGAGAAAATAAAATCCAAAGTAAGCAGAAGGAAAGAAATAATAAAGATCAGATATCAGTGGAATTTGAAAAAGGGAGAAAATAGAGAAAACTTAATGAAATCAAGAGCTAGTAAAATTAACAAACCTTTAGTTATACTGAATAAAAAAGGGAACAAAAATTGCCAGTATTGGGAATGGAAGATAGACCCCAACAGATGTTAAAGGGACTACAAACAACTATGTGACCGTAAGTTTGACAACTTGGAAGAAATAAAGCAATCACTTGAAAGAAAAAAACTATCAGAACTCAATGAAGAAAAAATAGACAACTAGAATGGACTTATATTTATCATAAAAACTGAATTTGAAGTTAAAAACCTGCCAAAAAGAAAACTCCAGGCTCAGAGGGTTTCACTAGAGAATTCTTTCAAACATTTAAGAAGTAATAATGCCAGTTCTACATAATCTTTTTGCAGAAAATTGAAGAGGAAAGGAAACTTTCAAACTCATTTTATGAGCTCATTATTACCCTAATACTGAAACAAGGTAAGTATACATTTTAAAGAAACAAGTTTGGCAAATCCTCAATTGTATACTAGCAAATTGAATCCAGCCATGTATAAGAAGGACGAATATATCACAACCAGGTACGATTTATCATAGGAATGCAAGGCTGGTTTGATATTTGAAAATCACTTCTATTCACACTTCAAGTGCTTAGTTGCTCTGTGTGATGTTAGTGGCTACCCTGTTGGCAGCACAGAGAAAGAACAATTCTGTTGTCATAGAAACTTCTCTTGGACACCAGTTCAACACAAGCAGTGCTGTGCACTTCCCATCACAACACGTAAGAAGCAGTGTTCTGGTCCCCCTTTTAGTGATGCCAGAAGCCACCAATTGTACAGGTAGTGTCAGTGTGACATTCCCCATCAACCTTTCACCTGATGGTTTTATTCCTTGATAATCTTTGCCTGAAACATTTGTTCCACTCCGTTGTTAGAAAAATACACATGTAATTATTCATGTAATTGCTCTATGTGATCTTTCTCTTTCAAATGTATCAGTGCATTTAGATCTGAGTTCATTTTTAGTAGCTACCTAATACTGAATGTATATATCCTAAAGTGCCATGATTTAATTCTGCTGAATAAGTACATGCTCTCAAGTGTATGATATTTTAAATTACATGTCCTTTCATTCTCTTTCAGGTGAGCAGAAGGCTTTCTCTTCCTTCCAGACACTGAAAAATAATAGCATATACACTGAGTCTTGAGAGGATTTGAGAAAAGATCAGCCCAGCCCATCCTGTCAGCAGATAAACTGTATCGATAGCGTTCTCAGGTATGAGACATGAGTTTTGATAACATGTTAGCTTTTCCAAATGCGTACTTTGTCACCATGGAGCCTTTATATCATTTTAAAATAGCTATTGTCTTGATTTTTCACTATAAATCAGTCGGCATCTACTATATACAATTCATAATAAACTGAACAGTTTTGGGGGACGTAAAAGTTAGAAGATGCATCCTTTCTTTGAAGGAGTTATGGTGTAGTTGACAAGACGAGACCTGTGCTCGTAAACATTAAGATTTGAAGATCAGTTCAAGGCCATAGTGAGGGACATGTAACAGCCCTGTGATGAAGGCTGGGAGGATCAGGGAAGACCTCCCCTAGGGAGAAAGTGAAGCATCCCGAAGAGCCGTGGCTCGAGAAAAGCAGAAAGGTGGGGCTGGCACGAGCTCCCAGGGCCATTCCTGTCCCCGCCGCGGGGTTGGGGGGGGGTCGTGTCGTACGGACCGGACGAGGGACGTAGTACGGTACCGTACGCGACGTAAGTTAAGGTAAAAAGGGAAAAAAAAAACGGGTAAAAAAACGGTTCCTA